CGTGCAGGTTGGGCTCCAGCACCACATAGGTGCTGTCAGCTGGGTATTTCATTTTTCTTTCAGGGATCATGGCTGTCACATGTTTGTTACTTGAGTTCTAGATGTTGTGCTGCTGAGCTTTACCATGGTCTGTGTTGCATTTCAGTCTGGTTTCATTTACCTGCAGGCTTCTGTCCTGCTTTGCTTACTGAATCTTGTCATCAATACATTGCACTTAATAGTTGGAGGTTTTATCAAACTATTTTCCTTTATTTTGTCATACGCTTTAATTATTTTAAAGAGCCCTAAAAATTGTAAAACTTATTTTATCTTTTTGTGACCAGATAGTGAAAATATCCCTGCGTTATTCTAGATCTTACGCAATGTTCTCATGGAGAAGAAAGCTGATTTTACTTATTCTCATAATTTGTGCACAAGAGAGAGAAACTTTTCCTTATTTTAACCCAGGGAGCAAGTGTCAGGTAAAGATAATGCAGAAGTACATTGTTTTTTTCAAATAATTGCTGTCATAAACCTTATATACAGACACTCCCCCCATGTGGATGACTTGTACATGCTGCAAACCAGCAAAGCATCAGCAGGAAGTAAAACACCTGCAGCTATTTCATGCTCATATCAAATTCTGATTCTGCTCTTGCTTTCGATCACCCTGAAAGAGTGGGCAGGAGAGCACAAATGTGCTTGTGTAAATACATGAGTAGAATCTCTCTTTTATTTCTGTACAACTCTGTGTTGTAAATTCTGCTTCATCTCCCTAAACAGGAGCTGTGGGGCAGACGCCTGTGCCCATTGCACTGCAAATACAGGTGTTGGTCAAGAGCATGCACTGTGAAGAAGGAAGGACTATTTCCACAGCAGTGCTGGCAAAGCTGCCATCTTCTGGCAGGGTCAGGGCTGATGTTTGGGATCAGTTCAGGATTGTGTTTCATTAACACCAATAGCATAGATGCTTCCCTAGGTCAGTTGTGGAGCCTGATCTTATCCAGCCTCAGTCAGGCAGGGATTTATTTTGTGTTGACTTGCAGGATGCTGTTCCAACATCTAAAGCCCTGCATTAGAAAAGCAGAGGGGAGAATCAAAATGCTTCCATCTTGCTTTGCACAGAGAACAAATTTATGGCTGCATTTTGCTATGATTTATCTGAAATTAGGTAGACCAGGTGAGGGCATTTGAACTGGGAATAGATGTGGAAGCAACAGGGTGTTGTGTAGTCTCCAAAAGCAGCTTTCCCTGTGGTCACACAAGCTGGTGCTCTCCTGGATTCTCACTGCCTGATGGCAACACCTGCCAAAATCCCTTATATTGTGCTGTTGGGGCTGAAGTCTGTCCTCAGAAGATACAGTGTTGATAGATATAACAAAAGTGTACTGCTCTTTATAACCATGCATTTTTCACACTGGTCTCTAGTCTCCTGCTCATCTTGCTTTAAACCTTTTGTCCATCGTTAGTCGTAATTAGTGGGGCAAAAAACCCAAATCTTTGTGCATGCTTTTGATTTGAAGTAGCATTTGGGCCTTTTTCACGGTGCAGTGCTGCATGTGGACACTGGAGGGCAAAGCAGCTGCATTCATGGCTGTGTGTTGCTCGGAGAGAAGCAGCACTGATGTGTGAGTGACTTTCTGCTGAGCTCGCAGCTTTCTTCTTCCTTCCTCCCCAGCAGAGCAGAGGATGAGCATAAAGCTACATGGAAATGGTGCACTCAAGCTCAGTTATAACTGAATGGGACTGCTGCATTCATTTGGGAAATGGAAGAGGAGATGAGGGAGGTGGAGGGTGGTTAGATGATCTGCAGGCTGGTCTGGCTGAATAATAGTGTTGAGCAAAGCAGCTGTGGCTGGTAAACTCACTTGGTTTCTGCACCACTGGTGGGAGGGCAGGGGATGGTTCTGGTGTAGGGGATAGCACTGTCCAGCTCCTAGTGACAGCACTGCTGTTTTAGGGCAGGATTTTGTGGGGTTGCCCCACCACTCCTGCCTGGGAATGGCTTTAGTTTGCTGACGATGTTTCAAGTTATTGCTCAGTGAGCTCCATAGGTGGAGCTGTTCCTCCTCTTGGGCAGCAGAGCAGCAAGGGTGAACTCCAAGCATCCACGGTGGTTATCTAGTGAAGAGCATCGGATGCTGGTGTGCTCTGCAGCACTGATGGGCTGTGTGGTTGAGACCGGGTGAGTTCGGGTGGGAATTTGCTTCTCCGAGCCTGGCTGTAGGCTGAATGAGCTCAGCTGCTTTCTCAGTGTGACCGGCTGTGAAACATTGACACCTAATTGTGGTGCGAGGTGTTACATCCTGTACCCACCTCTGTGCTATTTAGGTCTTGGTGGTGATGGGCTCGGGGGCTTGCTGATGCTGACCTGGAGGGGTCTTTATGTGGCTCACAAAGCTGCAAATCCCACAGCATCAGCCAGCACTTGGTGCCAGGCTGGGGACTGCCAGTGTCAGAGATGTCCGGCTGCGTTATGGCGATGCGTGTCCCCCTCCCTCCTCCTTCCTCCTCCTCTTCCTCCTCTGACCACTTGGTCCCATAGGAGGAAGGCAGAGGCCTGTGGAACCATCCCTACACCTCATCCAGACCTCTCTGCCTCACAGAAAGCATCGTGTGAAGGCTCCCATGGTTCTGCCCTCTGTACCCATCCCCAGCTGCATTCTGTGCTCCCGTAGTGGTTGTATGCTCCTATTCTCCAGACCTGACCTGGGCATTCCTCCATCTGCTTCTTTCTCTGTGCATCGTTCTTTCAGTTCATGTTTTAGCTACACATGTAGAGTTGCCTTTCTTTGACAGGATGTCTGAATGTGATATATTGTATATTTTAAAGTATTTACCCTATTTATATACTGTATGTTACTGTTAAATAAATATAAGTTCCATTATCTATAGTGGAGTTTTATTCAGCGCTGCTAAGGGAGATCCTGCTTTGCTCACAACAGACTAATCTGCTTCTCCAGTAACTTTCCTATTCCCCATTTCTTGCTTTCCTTCCCACAGTGCTGTGGGGTGGGAGCAGCCATCAAATCACAGCCCCATCCCATAAAGGCTGAAGGAAGCACTGCCATGTGCTGCACATCCACTCTTTTTGCCCTAAGGCTTTGACTGGGAATGCTGGAATTCTAGTTTGCATCAATTATTGCTTCATTTCAGCCATTTCTATTGACTTGTTTGGGTCAGGAGAGCAGAATCCTTCTGTGTACCCCTGCAAAACACCCTATTTTTAGCTCTGCTGTTATTTTGTCTGTTGTTTGACTTATCAACTAACCTAAACCATGCAATCAGCAGCTTGCTTCCTGTCATGCTGTCTGCATATTCTGAGACAAATTCATCCTCCAGCAACACCAAAATATGTTCTTCTCTCTAGCAAACCTGCAAAATTGACTCTAAAGCCCCAAATCTTTTGCTGTGATACATCTTCCATGGACAATTTGCATGGGTAGAAAGGAATTTGGCTGAACTCTGTGCAATATTCATATGGAACAACTACACGTGTTAACAAGAGGTCTTGAAAGATCCCTTGGTATTAAATCTCTTGGAAAATGGGCTGAAATCTCCCTTCTCTTGCATGTTAACAGATTTTATTGAATTGAACAGCCCAAAGTGGCAATTCCCAGTGCACATCCTGGTATTCTGTACCTACAGGGATGGAAAGCCTCAATCCAGAGCTATCTGTGCTGTGAGTAGCTCTCATGCAATGCTCCTTCCAGACCTATTTCTGATGCTCCCAACAGATCCAAAGGAGAAAAAAAAGAAAAAAAAAAAAAAAAAAAGAGAGAGGAAAAAAAAGAAGCAAACAAACAAAACCAAGTCCTGCTGATGTGCATTCCCAAACCTGGAGCATTGTGATACCTGGTGGGACCTGGCAGCAGGATGGCTCTGTGTGTGTCTGTGGGCTGCCTGCAGGCACAGAGCATTGGGCTGAATTGCACAGGTTTGGGTAGAAGCACTTGCTGTGCTGTTTCCTTTCCGGAGGGGAGGGAGGTGCAGTGCAGCATCCTGTTCACACCAGGCTTTTGTAAAAAAACAGATTGAAAAGAGAAAAAAAAAAAAGTAAAAAATCAAAGCGCATGACTCCACGATTCCCTTAAGTTCCCATTACTTTCTACAGATAAAGAGGAGGAAAAAATGATGCTCTACATTCAGGGCTCTCTGAGCTCAGCAGAAGCTGAGCTGGCTCCAGCTGCTAATTCATTTTTCAGAATTTAACCCAAATTTGCCCGATCTGGCTGTGAAATCAGGCTCCATCTGCTTTCTCGAGGGTGAATTCCTCGTGGATTGAGGCTGTGATGGCAACCGTGTGCAGCTCAGTGCACCCTGGGCCAATGGGGATGTGACAGCACAGAACTGTTGGCTGCATCCTCTTTCACCCCAGCTCCCCACGCTGCTCGTTCTGCTTCTCCTTGGGGCAACTTCCCCCTCTTACAGGGCCCCATACAGGGGGAGCTGGAGGTTGCAGCCCCCCGTCATCTCCTTCTGCCCCAACACCCACAGCATTTCCCCAAGCAGCAGCTCCATTTTGCAGGCACCCCTGTTGTAAACCAGGTGCAAAAACCCTAAACCACCTTTGAGTCATAGAATCACAGCATGGTTGGGTTGGAAGGGACCTTACAGCCCACCCAGCCCCACCTCCTACCGTGGGCTGATTGCCCCCAACCAGCTCATCGTGCTCAGGGCTCCATCCACAGCCTTGGGGCACCTCCAGGGAAATGGCCCTCTTGTCACCTTGGGATGCAGTCAGACATTGAAGGACGCTATCCTGCAGCCATGGTTGCTTTGCTTTGCTGCCCAGCAGTGTATTTCCCAAAACCCTGTGCTGGGCTTTGCTGCTGTGCCGAGTTCAGCCACTTCCCCAAATTCAGCCAACTGCAGCCCTGGGCTCCTGGTGTGGGTTGGGGCCACAGCACTGCGTCCCCACGCAAAGTGGAGCAAAAATTAAGGCAAAAGCAGCGCCTTGGCAAGAGGGGGAAGCAAGGCAAGAGCTTGGCGGGGCAGGAAAGGACTTTTATGGGGTTGCTTGCAGAGGAGGGAGGAGGAAGTACGTTGGCAAAGCAGCCGTCAGCGGGCCCTCACGCTGCGTTGGGGGATCAGACCCCAGGCAAAGGGAAGCCACGGGGCCATCCGAGCTCCACTTCAGCCCTTCTCCAAAGCTGCCCCCCTTGGAGAGTCAACGCCAAATCCTTCCTGATCCACAATGTCCCTCAAGCTGCCACGGAACTGGGATTTCAACCTGAAAATGGATGCTGCCAAAATAGGTACCGTGAGAGCTTCTTTATGCCATTCTTCAGCCTTTTTGGGGTCTGCGGGGTGCTTGCATCCAAGGCTTGCAGCCATTGCAGCTGCAGCCCAAACCCAAACCCCCTCTGGGTGTCGGCATGGGGATGTGGCCCTGGTGGCTGTGTTGGAGACAGCACATGGTTTGCAAATGATTGGTGAGAAATGCTTTGCAAGAATCCCTTTGCAAGAATTGCTTTGCAAAGCTGCACTGCTGTGCAGTGGGAACACAGCTGGGGTGGCCCTACGGGGTTGGGGACAGAGGGACACTGGCAGCATGGAGCTGCTGCCCACTGGAAATCCGGGTTTTGAGCCATTTGCTCCTTTTGCTCAAAGCCCATTTGCTCGTTTTGCTGAGCAAGTCTTGCAGGAGGTGGAGCGGTGCAGGTGGAGGAAGCATCCTTGCCCTTGCTCAGGTTTCTTCTTCCACCTGACGTCACCAATTTCTTCTCACTAGAGGTGAAGAGTCCTGTGTGGCTTTGCTGAATGCTTTCCTGACTGTGCCCAGGATTTGCACAGCTCCCATCCACCGTGGGATCCATTGCAGCATGAAAACCACTTTAAAATATCCTGAGGAAGCAGTGAGAGGTCCCAAGTTGGGCTCTATGGCCAAAATATCACAGCATTTGGGTCAAACAGGGGTGAGGAAGGAGTGCATGAGTATGTGCAGGCAGCAAAGCAAAGGTTCTTAATTGTGCCAATATATGGCCAAGGTGCACTTTGGTGGCTTCATTGCCAAGCAGTCTCTGCAGTTCTGAGTTCATCCTACATTGCACATCAGCTTGCAAGCTCATCTTGGCTGTATTTTCTTGCAAAGGCTTTGGGACTTTTATCTGAAGCCACTTTAGCTGGGGCTGCCAAGCACTGCTCTGCACATGGCCCTGGACAAGGCAGCATCGGTCACCTAAAGCTGCACTGCGACGCGAGGTGTGTGTGCAGGACCTTGAGAGCAGGCTCAGCTCTTTGCAGTGACTCTCATCGTATTTTGGGTGCCTGGTCCTCTGTCTGCAGGGATGTGACTCGGGTGGAAAATCATCTCAAATGAGTCACCATTGCCTTTGCTGGATCCTCCTGGCTCTGTGCACTTCCCTCTGCATGTCAACAGTGGTGACCACAGCTTTGAGAGCCCTGGGATGGAGTGCTGAGTGCTGTGTGCTTCCCCATGCTGAGATGAACACACACCATCTATTTCCATGAAAGAGAAAGCTTTGTTTGCAATTCTCATTGCAAAACCTATTGTAGAAGGTTTGCTTCTGTTGGGTTTTGCTGCACATCCCCAACATCCCCTCCAATGGGGATGCCTGCACGAGATGAGGATTTGGAGCAGGGACCAGTGGTGATGTGGCACCGCAGTGGTACCTGCATCAATGCCTCCTGCAAATGGCACTTTGGCAGAGCTCCTCTCTGCAGTGCCCAGGGCTGGAGGAGGAGAAAGGCTGTTATGGAGGAAACATTCAGCTTCGGAGGCGGTTACTGCAGGAAATGCTTTGGGGAGCGCCGTGTTTGCTCTCAGCAAACTCCTTCCTACCAGGGATGAAGGGCTGCAACCAGGGGAGGCTGAAAGCACTGAGCTACCTTGGGAATAATTTCACCTCAACCCCACGTGAGATCTTCAGTGCTGACCACAGGAGGTAGAAATATGGAAAAGCGGTCAGGGAGGGACCACAGCCTCGGTAGCTCTGGTTTTGTTTAAACAGAGGACTTTCTACTAGGCAAAAAATAGCAACACTGCTTGCAAAGCCAAGCTCCCCACAGCAGCTCCCATTGCACACCTCTGTGTGAACCCTGCAGCCAAAGTTTGCTCATGCAGTGGGTACAAACAAGCCTGCAAAGCTCTCTCTTGTTCTTAAGTCAGCCCAGAGCACAGGGAGAGGGAAAATACACCTGTGTGTGTCATGCTCATGTATGTGAGAGATCATGGCTGGGCCACACATGGTTGCATGTTGGGTCTGGTGTTTAGGAAGAGCTGATGAGAAAGCAGGGGGAACACAGTGTACTGCACTGTTCTGTCCGCATCAGGGAAGAAGGATGAAAATAGGAACAAATTGTATTTCCAGCAAGGTCTGGGCAATTTTAGCTCAGCAATTTAAGCCATGTAGCAGCAACAGCGAGGTCACTGCCTTGATGCAGAGCAGAGCACTGAAGCGGTGGTGATGGGCTGAGAGGGAGATTGAAATCATTAAAAAAAGGTAATCAAAAGTTCCCTTCTTCATAAAAGAGATAATTTTTCCTTGCAAGCTACATGTCAATGCAATACCTGAGCTGGGGAAGATGAGTATAGCTGGTGGATGAAGACAGCTCAGTTGGGATAACAGCATCACCCTGAACACCACTGCATCCCAAATTCCCATCAGCTCAGCTGTGAGCATGGACCCAAAACTCATTGCCCAGGAGAGGGTGGCAAATCCCTTTCAAAGGTCCCTGCTCACAGCGTCCCACGTCAGCACACGATGAGATACGAGCAGCACCCTCAGCAAGCATTGGAGGCTGATATTTGGATTCACCATCCTTCTTTGGAAATAGATTTGCAACACTGCAGTGAGCTTGGAGTGCCCCATTCATGCTGAGATCTGGAGGATGATGGCAGAACTCAGCGGAGCTTCTTGCTCCAGGGGATTTTGGAAGGGGAAGTAGGGCACAATCCTGATCTGCATCATCCTTGATGGATTTGCTAAACCACACAGTGATAAATGCAAAATATTTTGCAGCTTCATGCTCCTTATGGGTGCCTATGTAGGCGCAATCCCAAATACCACCAGGCTGCAATGGCTAAGTGTTGATTTTTACATTTTTTAAAGCTTCTCTTTTGCACAAGGCCAAGGAATCCCCCAACACTGCCAGCTTTTGCTTTTGCAGTTCTGCTGACCGACTCAAGGGGAAAAGCATACACATGGGTTCAGAGCACTGGGTCAGCCACAGCTTCCCTTTATCACCATCACCATTAGCTTTAGCAGGGGAGATGTCAGAAGTCACCATATGTGCAGAGCAGAGAAATTGAATTCCCCTGCAGTCACACACTTGGTTCTACCCTAAGTGCTCCCCCTGCATGGCTGGGTGGGCACTGGGGTCCTACAGTGCAGAGTAAAACCCAAAGTATCCCTTCCAGAAACGATTCTTCCTGAGGCATTTGTTATGCAGAAGCTTTTATAGAGGGGCCATGTGCTGATCCATGGCACAAGATGCATGGGAAACATCCATGCAATAGGAGATGGGGACGCTGCAGCAGGAGATGGGACAGCAGCAAATCCCCCTTTCCTCCCTTGGAGATTTCCAGTCTCGTTGCAGGAGATCATCCCCTTCAGCAACATCACGCAAAAGGCAAAACTTCATTTTCCAGGCAGTTCTGTTGCTGGTTTGTATTTTTTTAGGCCAGGCTGGATCACTCCGATCTCACAGCTGCAGCCTGTTTGGGGTGGGGATAAGAAAACACAAACTCCCATTAGGGAGAAAGAAAAAAAAAAAAAAACAGAAAAAGAAAAAGCTTATGATTTTCTTCTCGCTTGCAAGACAATGACTCCCACGCAGGAAAAAGGAAGCACGGGCTGATAGATACTGCAGCCACTTCCTTTACAACTAGCTAGCCAGTTTGCTGGGTGCAAGCAGAGGGGCTGAGAGCTCTCGCTGCTTGAATTGGGCTGGTGCCTCCATCCCCTCCATCCCCAATCCTGTCCCCACAGCCCGCTCCAGGAGTGTGATGAGCGGTGAGGCCGTGGCCCCCCAGCTTGGCCCCCCCAGCACCATGGAGCGGCCACTGAAGCTGGGTTGGCTGAAGAAGCAGCGCTCCATCGTCAAGAACTGGCAGCAGCGGTACTTCGTGCTGCGGGGCCAACAGCTCTACTACTACAAGGATGAGGATGACACCAAGCCGCAGGTAGGCTGGGGACTTGCTTTGCTCTTTGGGGATGGGGCTGGAGTTTGGTTTTAAAGAGGGTTTGTTGCTTTGGGGTGGTAACGCTGCTGGGATGTCCTCATGAGGATCTGCATCCATGTGCTGAAATTCGTATGGTGCCCACAGGCATTGCCTGTCCCCCAGGACATCAGATGTAGGCCAAGGAGACGTGGCAGCACTGTGTTTGGGATGAGCACACAGGGCACATGAGATGGGACCCACCTCATGGGGTGCTTGTAGGAGAAAGCAAGCAATCTTTTGGTCTTGAGCCCTGACGGACCTCACGGCTGGGGTGGGAGATGGAGTGAGGGGCCCCTCTGAGGAGAGAGATAAGGAAAGGAAATCTTTCTCCAGCCTTTCAGTTCACATCCTATCCTGGCAGGAGGTTGGGCCACGTGGATGGGGTTTGCTCCTTGGCCTTCTTCCACCCTGCACAGCTGCAGGAAACCTGTCCACTGCCAGCTCCTTTCAGGGCTTGAAAGTTGCTGTGTTTGGATGGTTTCTGGATCTCCAAGAGATCACAGCATGCACATAACCCTGTGCACAATGCCTGCGATCCCCACTGGGGCATGACTGAGGTGTCTGCACCCAATGTCCCCAGCCCTGCCAGCCGCACCAGTGTTTGGGTCTCTTTGGGGCTGCAATGAGCCTTCTGTGCCACCCAAAGTATTGCTCAAGGGACGTGTTGGAATACAACTGCTGGGAGGAAATCAGCTTGTTTTCCCAATGTATGTGGATAATTTCAACCGCATTCTCCACACTGTGAGAATTTTCACTATCATCTTTTGCTTGTTCTGGGGGAGAGAGCCTCCTCTTTGCCAGAAAAGATGTTCACTGTGCAAATTGGTGCCAGTAGCAAAAACAGTTCCAAGCTAACAAAATTCCAAAGGGGAAAATGATCAGCACTGGGGGTGAAACAAGGGGCAGAGGTGATGTGATGCATACCCTGTTTATGGCTTTTTCCTCTCTCAGAGGTGTTTGGGAGGAGCTGTTTCCCCAGCTCTAAATAGAAATGTAGAAACTGAAAGTGCTGTATCAAAGCTGATTGCTGCTGATAGTGCTTTCAGCAGCCCTCCCTATCAGCACACCTCGCTTCAAGCTGCTCCCACCAGCATTCAGCTCAATGCCACCACATTTGGGGCTGACGATTAAATCCTCGCTGCCCACAGGAACCCAACAGCTTTCAGAAGCCTGAAATTAGGGAGAAACATCACTATTTCTGCCTCTGCAGGCTGCCAATGCTGACTCATACACCCACTCCATCCCACGCGCCTTGTCTGCTCCTCACCCATCCCCTCCCACAGTGACCGAGCTGCTGGCTCTGTTCATTTGTGAGAGGAAGAACCAAAGGAAACAGCTGTTTTCTACTTTGCTTTCTTTTTTTTTTCCCTTTCTTTTTCTCAATTTTCTTCTTTTTTCTCTGCTCCTCTCCTGTAAACTTTTTCCGTTTTGTTTTTAAGTGGCACTGTGTTAAATGAAGAAATTTCCTGTTCCAGTGCAGCAAAAAGAGGCTCTCTATGCATTGTCACATCCCTTCTCCTTTGCACTTTCTTCCTCTATCCCCAACAGGGGTTAAAAAAACATGAGAAAGGAGGAAAACATGAGAGGGGAGGAAAAAAGGAAAGAGGAAATCAAATAGTGTTCTCATTCTGAAAATAACTTCATAGAAAAACTGGCATTTAAGAAGTGTTTCTTATTGCTTGACGTCATTTTTAGGAGATACACACATATATATATATGCATCCTTCATTGAGTTATTTTGAGGATATATATATATGTGTATATATAAAGGAGTTGCCATCCCAGGAGATGTTCAGGAAAGCAGTAGATCTGGCACTTGGGGATGTGGTTTAGTGGGCATGGTGGGGGTTTGTTGGGTTTGGGATGATCTTGTGTTTTCTTCAAACCTTATTGATTATATATATATATATATATGTATATACACACACACACATATGTATTTTTAATGAGAAAAACTGCAATGAAAAACCCAATTCCTGCAATCTGTCTCAAACAAGGGAGTCTGATGCCCAGGGCTGACACTACCTCGTGTCACCTCTCAGAGGTGGGACGTGAGGATTGGCAGCTCCTGCTCTGCTTGGTCCTAGGGCTGCCTGTCTCTCCAGGGAAGCACCATCAAGGAGGTGGCTAGCAACCCAGAGGAAGGAGGGAAATTTATCTTTGAAATTATCCCAGGTGAGAACGCTTCCTTCTGTTTCATTGCATGCTTGTTGGGATGGACTGGTAGCCCCAAATCTTTTGGGCACGTCATTGCGCCTGCCCTTTTCCTCCCATTTCTTTTCAGCACCTCCCCCAGCACTGCATAAAAAAACAATGTCTTCCTTTCAACATCCACATGCTGGAACATCCCATGTTGTCACATTAAGCACTTTCTGTTCCCTTGTTAAAGCTTCAGTGAGGTTGAAACATTAGAGAGCTGCTTCCTTTCACAGCCAAGCAGACATTATTAGGGAAACTGAGAGCCAAAAATATTCAGCAAAGACAAGAAGAATTTGCCATTCCTATCCCAACCTTCACTATACATGGTCTATAAATGCTTTTTGCAGGGCTTTCTGGAGACCAGAACCGGGCTGGGCAGGATACCTGTGTGCTCATGGCCAGCTCCCAGTCCGATATGGAGGAATGGGTTAAGTCCATCCGACGGGTGCTGGGTTCAGCCTCAGGAGGTAACAGGCAGTGGGATCAGCTCCTGGAGGGATGGTTTCATAGCATTCACACTCCATGCTGCTGCTGAGCAAGGGTTTCAAAGCTGGGCTCCTAATTCCAAGAAAATGGGACGTGCAGTGCAGTGAGACCACCTTCCTTGAGGCTGGACCTCATGGTGTTGGTCTGCTGCAGAGTTAAGCAAATAGCCATCAGATTTCCCTGCTGCTTTCAACCTTTTTTGCGAGCTTCTTCATTGCCCCATTGACTCCAGAAACTGTCATTCTTGAGAACTCCGATTCCTTCTTATTGAAGGATCCTATTCCAAGTTCCCCTTCCCACTCAATCCATTCTATGGTTCAATGAGATTCAATGAATCAGTGATAAGGCACTGAAAAAAATCTCACCTTTTCCCCGCCAGTTTTCCTTCTCTGATTTTCCGTTTGCCTTTCTCTGCCCCGTCCTCCCTCCTCCATTCTCTCTGCAGACTCTGCCTTGGGCACACCATCACCTGCCCCATGTGATAGGTCCCCACTTGTGGTCAGGGAGGGATCAGACAAAACCCATCAGAAGAGCACACCTTGAAATTGCCACCGTGGGCAATGCCCACAAAGGAAGCAGCAAAGCTAACTCCAGCCACTCTTCCTATATAGATGAATTACCCCACTTCCTATAAGGGTGAATTATCCAGACTTTTCCTATAAGGATGAACACCTATAAGCAAGGTCCAAGCAGGGCTGGAAGCCCCTGCAGCTCTTTTGCAAAAGAAACAACAGTCCTGAGCCTCTCCTTCTCCTCTCCATGCTTCATGTTGCATCATTTTTGATACAGACTGTGCCCTGTGCTGCAGCTCTACAGGCACCATGCAGCTCTGATCTCCCGTAGTTTCCCCTGAATAGAAATCACAGCAGTTTTGAGGCTGGTTCCATTTGCAATCCAGATGTTTTCTATCTCTAAACTGGTGCCCCAGGGTTGGCAGCAATGTGCAGCTGAAATGAGGATTCTTGGAGCCAGGTGCCCCTCCTGGCTCTAATAATAACAACTCAACAGCTGATCCTTGCTTAAGCTTCAGAGGCTGCTGGGCTTCTTCCAGCCAGATAAAGTGACCTTACATGATGGGAAATGTAAATTTATAGTAGTACAGAGAGCTCTGGGGACAGCAGAGAAATCAGGCACAGCAGGACTGCATTTTATGCCAACATAAAGATGAACAGACCCCAAAACTTCACACTGTGTTTTTGGCATCAAAGCAATGTGTGCTTTTAAAGCACAGTGGAGGTGTTGGATTTGCTTCTATTGTCCACAATGACAGATTTATATTCATGATTTAAAATTGTAAGCAGGTCCCTTATAAACAAAACACACCACAGCCAGGCGGGTGCAGACAAGTTTGTGGTTCCAGATGAGGGTGCATACTTGCAGTTTCCTGGTCTGGAAGAAGCACAGGAACCATTTCAGCCTTCAGAGCATGCAGTGAATGCACTGCAAAACCATAGTAGAAGACCACAGGACTATTTGTCATTACCCCAGAGCCAGGACAAGCTTGGATTCTTGTGCTATAACCATGCATGGGGCTCCAAGGAGGAAGAGCTGGGATGCAGGCTGCTGCCTTCTCACCTTTGAGCTCTTCTTTTTCTGTGAGTTCAGGAGGAAAAAGCCTCTGCTCTGCACCTGCTGCAGAACATTGCTTTAGTGCACTGAGAGGGAAAGGGGAGGCTCAGGTTGGGTGTAAGGAACAATTTCTTCTCTAAAGGAGTGGTATGGCACTGGCACAGGCTGCCCAGGGAGGTGGTCAGGAGCTGTGGAGATGTGGCACTTGGGGACATGGTCAATAGTGGGGATGGGTTGGGGGTTGGACTTGGAGACCCTGGTGGTCTTTGCAACCTTAATGGTTCCATAATTATGCAATTTAATCATCTTGGGAATATAATTGTTTGGAGGAAGTTCCATTTTGCTGTTATTTCTCTGGGAGCAGTTCCCTTCGCACCCTCAGCTTGCACAGCTTTTGGAAGCTCTCACTTTTAGGAAGAAGTGCTGCTGTCCCCTTTGCACACAGCGCTGAGCACCTCAAGCAGAGCTGTTGGGCTCCTCTAACCCCAGCATCCTCTCCCTAGCGGTGTTTGGCCAACGCTTGGCAGAGACCATGGCCTACGAGCAGAAGTTTGGGCAGCACCAGGTGCCCATCCTGGTGCAGAAATGTGCCGAGTTCATCCGGGAGCACGGGCTGAATGAAGAGGGCATCTTCCGCCTCCCCGGCCAGGACAATCTGGTGAAGCAGCTCAGGGATGCCTTTGATGCTGGGGAAAGGCCATCGTTTGACAGGTAATGTTGATTCCCTCTTTCCTATTCAGCTTGCACCCCAGAATCTGGGGAAAAGCAGCCTGACCCCCTGAAGTGCATCAGCAGTGCACTGATGGAGACTTGGGGCCAGCAGAAGGGTTCAGCACACAGAGGGGCTCAGCAGAAACCCCCCAAAAGGATTATGGTGAGAGATGGATGCAGATCTGTGGGAGGAGTTTAGGGGCACCAGAGAGTGGAACACACAGTGAGTGTTGTTCCAGACAGCAAAGAAAGCAAAGGGAAGAGCCTACAAAGCACATCAGCTAAGGACAGAGGTTTAAGGAAAGAAGAGCAAGAAGAGGAGTGCAAATACGTTCAGAGAATACCCTAAACCTCACAGAAGTAATTCCTTACCCTGACAGCCCATTGGCTTGGAATTTTCCCCCTGCTGCTTTTCCCACAGAGAAATAAGGGAGAGATTTTGGCTGCTCAAAAGCTGCCTCCTCCCAGATCCCTTCCTCTGCTGGGCTGAGAGGGAAAAGCAAATCCCCTAAAGCAAAGAGAGGCCCCAGGTGCTGCCTATGAGGAGGCTCTGGGGAGGGGTGTTTGCTGCTTTCAAAGCATAACAATCCCAGCCCTTCATTTTGCAGCTGAGTATTTCTTGCCTTCTGTGTCCCCAAGTCCTGTTACAACCTGCAGGGGGGACATGGGAAGGTGAAGCTTTTATTTTTTTGCATAATGGTGTTTTGCAGCAGGGGAAGTTGGCACTGCTCCTCACACCCTGCCATGTTAACCCTGCAGGGCTCAGATGAGCATCACTGCAGCACCCCTGTGCACTTCACATAAAATACATCTTCAGCAAGGCCAGTAAAGGGGTTTTCAGAAAGGTGAATACTGCAAGGTGCTGGGTTTGCAGCCAGTTTGGGTTTGCACTGGCACACACAAAGCACAGCATGACTGGGTGGGGGAGCCTTAGAAAACTGCTGGTGCAGACCAGGCATTCAGGATATGTATTGGTAGGCCCTACAAAAATACAGCTCTGAAAAAATTCCTCTGTGATTCTGTGGGTTCGTTTAAAAACCCCAACCAATCCTAAAAATAAATGACCTGGGGGATTTTTGCTAGAAGTTTATAAGAGTTTAAGCAACTTCAAGGTAGGTCAAATGAGAGACTTACTGTCTTGACAGTGTCCTTTTGACATAATGTAAACTACATGGTATGCAAAGCTGCAAACATCTGGCCTGGCAGAACATCTTCAGTAATTGCTGTTAATCTTCCAAACCCCAGGCGATGCGGAGCGGGGAGCTCCTGCCAAATGTGTGAATGCCTGCAGACTGGGTTTGCATGCAGAATTCAACGCAGGCTAGGGACATGCAGCAGGCAAAATCTTTACCAAGCAGATTATTTGGCCAACTGGGGCCATTCCCTGGCTCGGGGTGCCCTGTGAGCTGCTACTGGCTTTTTGTTGCTCCCTGTTTATAGTTCTGCACCTCATGCATCTGTACACAAAGCATGGAGCAGGGCAGGGATTGCTCGCCAGCTGGGTTTGGGTCTCACCTATGGCTTTGCAGGGACACGGATGTGCACACTGTGGCCTCTCTGCTCAAGCTGTACCTACGGGAGCTTCCTGAGCCAGTTGTGCCATGGATACAGTATGAAGATTTCCTGCTCTGTGGCCAAACGCTGGACGTGGACCAGAAAAAGGTACAGAAGTGCATTCGTTTCTCTCCTTATGAAAGCTTAGGTTTCCATAGCAAATCTAAGAGTATAACAGCAGCTCCTGCAGCTGCTGTCCCGTGGTGGAGGGCTCCAGGTAGCAGCAAGGATGGGAGCAGGGGTGTGGGTGAGAGTCAGATGAGTGAGATGCAATGAGGGCTGCCCTGTCCTAATGCTGTGTTTGGGTGGAAAAGCAAGAAGGTACTCATGGACACTGCTCCTATGCTCATGAAAATGAGACAGAGCATCCCCAGTCTGTGCTGGGTCTCCCTAAGAAATGGCATTGCCACAGCTGCAAGCAAATGCCAGGAGGTGACACCACACAGGGATGGCTGGAGCAACACAGAGCCTCTCTTCAACCCATGTACACCTGTGCATCTTCACAGAACTGTTCCTTAACTTGCATTTAGGGGCATCAGGACCTCTTGAAGCAGCTGTCTCTTCTTCCCAGAGACAACTACAACCTCCTCAGCTACATCTGCAGGTCAGTCCTTTGCATCAGATACAAACAGCTCCAGTTAGATGTTGGTGAGGAGGAATATCACCCTAAAGACTGAGTTTGACTCCCCATCGGCCACTAGATCCTGACTTTTAAGAGAGAGTTTCCACCATTGGGCTGAACATCTCAAAGATGTCTGAGTGTGAATGCATACGAACTCACTCATGAACTCCTGAGAATAAAAACCAGCATAGCTTTTTTTAACACAAAGCCTTGCACAGTGAAGCAGCCAGCTTTCACCCTGAGTGATGTGTGATCTTTCTCTGGTTGTTAAATATTGGATGGATTTCTCCCCTTTTTTCTGTTTTTTGGGGGGGTGTGTTGGTCATCACATGGTGGTTTTCTTACTGCCACCAAGAAGACCAAGCTCTAGCATACATTTGTAAGGCACTAACATTCTTCTATCCTTGGGAATTAGAGGGTGAGAACAGAGTAATTGGATATCTAAGGTATCTAAGGCTTTTGTACAGTCTTCTTTCTCTGATTGGAAATGCTTGCCCTTGGGTCCTGATAGGTTTCTATATGAAGTACAGCTGAACTCTGGCGTCAACAAGATGAGTGTGGATAACCTGGCAACAGTGATTGGAGTGAACCTCATCAGACCCAAGATAGAGGATCCTGCAACTATTATGAGAGGTGAAAGTGACTCCTGGAATAATTGATGTCTATTTGATATACTGAAGTACAAATTTGCACCCACAAACTTGAAAATTAAAAACCTGAAATTAAATATTTTCTAACGTAAGGAATTGTGTATTCTCTCCATGGATTTCATGCAATTCAGGAATTTGGTGAATTTTGCTTAGAGTAGAGAGGTGTGAAATGCTTAGAAAAACAAGTGAAACTTGGAGAGTCTCTGATTTCTTCCAGGCACGCTGCCAATCCAGAAAGTGATGACCGTGATGATCAGCAACCATGCAGACCTCTTTCCCCCATCCAAGGACGTGCCGCCCTCCCCAACAACCCAACAGAATGACAAGAAAACCCCCATCCTGCGCAGCTCTGTGGGCTGGGACTCTGCAGAGGACTCCACATTGCCCAGGGCAGAGAGCTCAGTCCAAAGGCAAATGGTAAGGGTAGGTCCTTGGGGAATAAAACAGGACCCCAGTAAATGGCTGCTTAATGATTATGGGATCAAATGGGTCAGCAAGCCATATGAGGGCTTGCTATTTATAGGATAAAGAACTGTAACTGTCATCCCTGGAAACAGATCTGGAAAACAAGCTCTTTCCTCTGGAAAACTTACTGTTCTTGGAAAAATGATTCTTTTACCTAAAGATTTTTTAGTTAAAAGGCAGAAGAGATGAAGCTTTTTCCGTTTGTGTTGGTGATGTGAAAACACTGGGGGGTAAAGTCTTTTCTCAGAAAGAAAGAACCTCAGCAGAGAGCTCTTCTTAATGGAAAACGCAGTGTAATCCAAAATGGAGTCACGGAGTGCCTTGGGTTAGGAGAGACCTCAAAGCCCACCCAGTTTCAACCCCTGCTGTGGGCTGGTTGCCCCCAGGCAGATCAGGTTGCCCATCCCCAACTTCTCTGGGCGGCAGTGGCAGGGCCTTACCAGCTGATAGATATCAGTTCTTATGGACAAGCTGTGGCCATTCCTGCTGCGTGAGTCAGCATGCCCTTTGTCAATATTGAGGTCTCTGCAGTCACTGCCCGTGAACAAAATGAGACAGTCCTAATGCTTCCACTCTGTTTTGCAGAAAGACAACCCAAGTGCCAGCCGTGCTCCTGGGCTGGCTGTGAGCTCACGTGCACCCAGCGAAGATACTGGCGTGCAACCATCCAAAGATACACTGGGAATGTGGAAAATACAAGCAAGGAAAAGGACTCAGACTTTACCTAACAGAAAATCCTTCCTGACTGCTGCATCTCCAGGGGAGAAAGGCAGCAATGACAGGAATGACATATTTAACAATGACTTTTGGAAAGGCTCCACACAGAGCAACCCATGTTCTGTGCTCACTGAAGGACATAAGAGAACGCTATCTCATGATCTTTTCAAGCTGCTCGACCTTCACCGGGCTTCAGCTTATGACAGCATGCCCACCTCCCATGTGGAAAGCAGCAGCTCCAGTCCCAGTCCTGCCAGCAGCTGCTCCGATAAGGAATTCCAGCCCTGCCCCAGCCCCTGCCATCAGCCCCAGGAGCCAACCAGCCCTGCCAGCAGCCCTTCCGAGGTGTTCCAGCCTGCTCCAGAGAGCAAGGAGTCCCTGCAAAACATGGTCCTGAAGCTGCAGAGAGAAATGGATGCACAAAAAGAGACCTATGAGGAGCAGATTAAAAGGTAATGTGCTGCTATGCGCTGCTCCAAGGGTTGATAACATCTTTATTGCAGCAGCAGAACTGCATAGGATTATTTACCAGTAATACCCTACAGCATATAGTAGCAGTGACTAGTGATAAAACACAGCATTATATTACACTATCTCAAATTCAATTTTGTGTGCTGTGCTCTCATGACTTAGTAGTGTGTTACTGCATTGTTGACGTTCTATAGTTCTTATTACATCATTGTATGGTACTATAACATTTCTGCAATAATTACATAGTTGTATTTATCATTATTATACTATTATAGAGTCATAGAACTGTTTGAGTTGGAAGGAACCCTAAAAGGTCATTTCCTCCAAACCCCTGCAGTGAATAGGGACACCCACAGCTCGATCAGTTGCTCAGAGCCACGTCCAGCCTGACTTTGGGCGTCTCCATGGATCAGCATGCACCACATCTCTGGGAACCTGTGCCAGTGCCTCACTGCCCTTATTGCACTATCCAGAATTTGATAGCAGTATTATTACTGCATCCAATGGTCGTAGCCATCACTGTTACTACAGCTTCACATACTGTTATCATATCATTATATACATTATATACCACAGATGTTGATTTCTTGCACTGTGATGCATCTGGTGATGATCAGGGGATCAGGACAGCATCTCTAGCTTGCTTTACTGCTTAACAACACAGAGGTCAGAGTCCTGGAGAGTCAAACTCTCACTTCTCAGCTCTCTTCTGCTCCAAACCCTTTGTGTTCTGTTCCTCTCTGCAGCCTCGAGAAGGAAAACTATGATGTTTGGGCCAAAGTGGTGAGGCTGAACCAGGACATTGAAAGGGAGAAGAAGAAGTCTGAGGAGCTGGAGCTGAAGCTGAAGAACATGGAGTGCTTGCAGGAGGACTTGGAGAAGAAAAATAAGATGCTTGAGGAGGAGATAAAAACCATTGCTAAATCCAGGAGCAAAAGTGATGCCAAAACCAACTAGGAGAAGACACCCAGCTGTGCACAAACATAAAATGCAGCTGCACGAATTCAAAGGAATTGCCAAGCAGGACCACAGTCAGGGACTTGTGTTGTCCAATGCCCTGCGACTGGCTGTGGGCTTGTGCAGAGGAAGGAGCCTGGAATTTAGAGGCTGGTTTATGCTCTGAAACAGGAAATTTCCAAAATACTGTTTAGCTTTTACTTGTGTGTTTTTTTTCAAGTCCTCTTTCAGCTGCTCAAGTTACCTGTAGAACAGGCCAATACCTCTTGCTGCTCAGTCAGAACAACTTGCACACAAAAAACCCAAAGCAACAAGAGTCCTTCCTGCCAGCCAGCTGGCTCTATATTGGAGACACTAGCGGTGCTTCTGAGTGGAACAGAGCATTGCTAAATCCTGGAGCTGGGAAGATGGAAAACCCCCAAAGTCTTGGGTGGCACAGCCCATCTCACAGCATGCCTGGATGCTGGGCTACAAATGCTGTCAGCAACACAACCGAGACATTTGCATCAACATATGCACTTGGTTATTGCTCTTATAGAGCAAGAGAAGCCCAGACAGCTTGTTGGGTCCATCAAGAAACCTCGTGCCCCATCCCTTGTGCTGTGCAAGACTCGTCGATATCAAGGCTCCAGCTGTGAAATCACAAAAATCACAACTTCTTCAGTTAAATTGCTCTTCACTTATTTTAACTTGCTGATTCTTACATCCATGTGTATATAAACCCAGCACGGTTGCTGTTGAGGCTTTGGAGTTTCACGCACAGACATGGAGCTCTCTATCTTTCATTATTTCATCAGGATTCTCTTGGCCCGTTGGTGGAAACCTGGGTTTGCAACCCAGGGATGATGCTGGGTCTCTGCCCATCACTTGCTGCCTTTGGCATGAGGACTAATCAACATGGCTAATTGTAAACGTGTTGCTTTGGCTGCTTGCTTTCGCACTGCCTGCCAATGAGTCACCATGATGCTGCTGAAGCTTTTGGAGTAGAACAATATAGAACAAGAAAAATAGAACAAGACCCTGAAACCTTTCACTCATTGATATTCAGAAGGGTGACCCACAACACACAGCTTCAGCCCAGCCTCTGTGGATACAGAAAGGGGATCAGCAGGAGTTATCAACAAAGACTTGTAGGACTAAATGCACTCTTCTGTGCCAAGCACAATGGAGTTAATGCAAATAGATTGCTGTTACTGAGGACTTGAAGTGAAAGCTCAGCTCCAGACAGGCTGCAGGACTGCTTAGCAGAGATCTGCAAAGAAAAAAAGGACTGGAGAGAGAAAGAGATTCAGAAGAGACTGTGAAAAGAGAAAGATGGGAGTGGGAAAATGTTTGTAGAGAATAAAAGCCATTATTGGGTATATAGCACTTGCTGTGGGGGAGTTCTGTAGCCCTGAAGCTGACAACTCCTTAGGCTCAAGCTCAGACATGGTGCATGTATTGAATCTGTCTTTGCTCAGCCATGGTTGGAAAATCCAGGTAAAGGAAATGTAAGAGTTGAGCATTTAGGAGCCTGACCCATAAACAGAACATTCCCATGATAAACTCAGACTCTGCATGGTTTTCCTTGCCTTAGGGTCCCCATAGGTTACAAAGCCTCTCATTGCCCAACTCAAGTAATTCATGCATGGAGGTGCTGCAAAATCACAGTGCTCACCTCGCAATGGAGGGTGCCCAGTGCAAATCAACCCATAGATAAGGTTCTCTGCCCCTGCTATCAACAATCTGATCAACATGTTTCAGGTCTGAAACTCAGTAATTCAGAAATCATGGAATCACAGGAGGGTTTGGGTTGAAAAGGACTTTGAGCCCACAGAGCATCTTGCTCCCTTTCTTTTCGGTGAGAGTTCAGATGACTTCAGGAGTGCGTGATGAGGTGGGTTGATGGTTGGACCAGATGATCTTAGATGTCTTTTCCAACATTCCTGGTTCTGAGATCTAGTCATGAGGCCTGGGAATCATTTAAGGAGATGTTTCTTCGTCAGGTCCAGAAGAAACTTTGTGAGCATGTGGGCTGGAAATGCCACACGCTCTTTTCTGTGCAGATCAAATGTGTGAAGAGGCAAATAACTCCTCCATGGCCCACAGCAAAGCATGATGACGTGGGAAGGCTTGGCTGCAGCCCAGAAAGCTGCGATTAGGACAAGTGCACGTTAATTTAGTATAAACTGTGCATTCCCCCATTTCCGTTGCAGATAGGCAAAATAACCTCTATCAAACCGCAGCTGTTTCTGAGGAGCAGAGTAACTTCTTTGAAGATATTCTGCCCATTAAAATGTGGAGTGTTTATAGTGGTCATATTTAAAAGATATTTCCAATGGAGGTCAGGTGGCCTGGAAATTCCTAAGTGCATGGGGGGAGCAAGCAGCTTCTGAGAGCAGCATGGGCATCATGTGAGCTGATGATGCTCCTGGGTTCTGTGGGATAAGGAGGGTTTTCTTTTTTAAGAAAAAAAAGTGCTTTGGTTTGTTGTGTTTTTTTTGGTTTTTTTTTTTTGGAGAGAGAGACAGCAATGGGTTTAGAGAAGCATGGGTCTGCCCATGACTGACATATAGAAACTTTGCAGCCCCATGGGTACATCTCTCCACTCAAAGCCTGAATGTTGGCCATGCCCAAGTCCTGCTCTGGATGTAATGCACTTCCAGATCTTCTGCTGTAAACAGCAGGACATGAGGTCTCTAAAAACTGACTGATGTATGAGCTATGTTTTAGAGCTGCTACTGTCACATAAAAATACATTATTTTTATTTACAACAGAATAAATAATAATCCCTGTACACAGATCAATCTTGTCCTGGACATCATGGAGTTAGAAAGTTGCATCACCAAAAAGGCTTTTTCAGCCCCTTAGCCATCACATTTCACAGCTACAGGGCATAAGAACATCCCCTCCAAGATGATGGGAAGGCTTGTGAGATAGCCTACAAAACACCCATGGGATTTTTCTTTCCCTATAAGAAAGAGACTTCCAAATTAAAGCAACTAAACCCACAGATCTGAATGCACCTCAATCTACTAAATCATAGAATTATAAGGGTTGGAAAAGACCTCTAAGATCCCAAGTCCAACCCAACCCATCCCCACCATGCCCACTAACCATGTCCCCAAGTGTCACATCTCCACCACCTTGCTGGGCAATAAGTATGAATGCATCACCACTCTAGGATTTTTTTTCCTATATCGTGCATTATGGAGCAGAGATGTGACTTCTTATATGACATATTTTAGCCCTGCTCTCATTGTCTAGCATTCTTTGCACTATAGCAAAAATCTGTTTTGCTTTTCTTTGGTATTTATTGCATTCATTTAGTAATTCACTTTGTTGTATTCTGGCATTTAGTAGGCGTGAGAGGCAAGGAAGTAAAATTATCCTTCCCACACTCTTCCTGCTGGATCCCAAGCCAGTCACGCTTATGCTGATTTGTCCCCTCATATTTTATCAAAATCACATTTTTGGCATGATAGTAACTTTCCTTTTTTGGCTTGGCTACTGCAGAAAATAGCAAGTTGCGGTGGGAGGCGAGGTAGACGTGTGGGAAATGTGTCCAGCCATTCTTTAGGATGGCTTGTGCAAAGGAAAGGAAAGCAGTGAGAACACGTTGTTCTCTCCAGGAATGAGAGAGCATTGTATGTCCTTCCTGCACATACATGATACCTCCAAAGCAAGTTGATTTTAAGAAGAAGCCTGCTCTTAATTTCAGCCAAATACACAGCCTGAGTGATGCGAACTTGGGTGCAGTTTTCCTAACTGTTAGGTTCAACTTTCAGCACACAGCAAATCCACCAAGATGAAAACCTCAATAAGCAGAGCTCAGCAAGGAGGCAGCATCTTATTTACCTCTCACTGTGTGAGGAGGAGGCTTCCAAAAAAGCCATTTTTCATGCATAGCCCTGCCCAAAAGGGTGCCTAGGTGCCATCAACACCTTCTGAAAATTTGCTTTATCGCACATAAAAAAACAACGTGATATTTCAGCCCTCTTCACACCACACACTGTTAACAGGAACTGGGAACAGAGGGACGTTCCTTTCATGTCGTCAGCTGGCCGTGATGCTGTTTGCCACGTCCAGGGAGATATTTCCAAATGAGAGCATTTTGGAAGCAGCCTGAGAGGTGGGGACGGGCTTTGACCTCTTGCTAAAGAAGTTGAGATTGCTTTGGCATCTGCTTCCCAAGCATGCGAGACGTCAATTTTTCGCTTTCTTTCCACAGTAGTGTTGCCTTGTTTCTTCCTCAGCTTCCTCAATGACAAGGACCAAGCATCCCAAGGACAGTTAGAATCATAGGAAAAATAGAATCACAGTAGGACTTGGATTGGAAGAGACCTTGAAGATCCTGCAGTTCCAACCCCACTGCTATGGGCTGGGTTGCCAACCTCTAAATCAGGTACCTGATCAGGTTGCCCCATCCAGCCTGGCCTTGAGCACCTCTAGGGATGGGTATCCACATCCCTTGAGCTGTTCCTAACACAACAGCTTCAAACAACACCTGTGAGCAAGATGTCAACTGTCCATGGAAACTGTGGTGCTTCCACGCACATAGGTGGAGTGGGAGAATTCTTATCTCTCACTGCCTTGTTCCTATCCAGTGTGAACAAGTCTGAAATGTGGATAAATAGCATTTACAGGCTGCACAGTATACAGGCTTACAAACTCATTGTTGCCATGGGACTGGATCTTTCCCCTAGCTGGCAGTGGGAGGAAGTTGGCTTAGGGTCAATGATAGCACAAGAAGTTACAAAAAAGCTCCAGGAGATTAAATTGCTGTCATCCACTCTGACCTGCTTCTGCTCACTCAAATATAAAGCTTTGCTAATAATGGCAAGTAGAATTGTTTTTAGGAATAAATCATAGAAAAACCTCTGTTCCATTATATCAGGATACTCAGAAATCCTATGCAGGAACACCAACCAAGGCAAAGCCCCTTGGCATCCCGTCAAAACAAGGAGCCATGGGCATCTAACACTGTCTTTTTAGGACACTGATGTCGGGCTCAAGTGATTAGAATGCTTTTTGCTTGATCTTCCACATATCATAGCAGTCCATCCATTTAAGGTCCTTGCCAACCAAAGGGTCTGTGACCCTATTTTATCTTGGATGCCAGTGAGCAAGGAGCCCATTGCCAATAAGATGAGCCTGCAGCAGCACAAGTCTTGCAGTGCCTTGGCCAGGAAAGGCAAAGAAGTTGCAGCTGATGACTCAGTGCTCAACGTTTGAGTCAAAATCATGAGTTCTTCTGCCTTGACGAAAGTCAAGCCATTGGGACCACAGATTTTTGTTTTCCAACACAGAAGTCTTTGAAAATGTTTGCACCACACAGAACCAGAGCCAGACTTGCAAGTCTTGGATCCCAACATCTATAAATGTTTGGAATTATAACTAAATTGGCAGACTTGCCTGACAACCTTTCTGCCTGTCCTGGATCTCGTTAGCCCCCCCAGGCTGTGCCAGGAGATGCATGCCCAGTTATGCACAGCCTGTTAGCTCGTAGCTCAGGGCATGTTGCTTATCTCTACTGCACTAATAAGGGTGGTCAGAGAAAGCACAAGACGTGCAATCTATATTCTTAGACTAAATCTGTTGTCAGCCTTTGATTGGCAAAGGAGGGTGAAAAAAAAGCAATGCAAGCTGGAGAAATCCCAGGGAGAAAGCTGAGTGTATCACTGCTTTTCCAGCAAGAATGATTCAAAATTGGTGCAAGCCTATAAATGAAATTCTAAGTAGGAATTTGGACTGAAGTGGTGCCGTTCTACTTTGTGCCTACTCCAGCAGCAACCAGCTGGTGTAAGCCAAAATAAACCACTGCAATGTCTCCACTGCTAGATCAGCCCTTTGGTCCTCTAAATGTGCCTCAGCTTCCCATGGACCCCCACTCCCATTTTTGGAGGAGTTTAAATTGGGATGTCCCAGGGTAGATCTGGTGCAGAGCAAGCACAACAAGCAATAATAAGTATAATAATAATAAGTAGAAATGCTAGGAAGGAATCATTTTTTGTACAGGAAGATATTCACTCTGCACAGCTCAGCTGGGTAACAGTTCAGGCCATAGGGCTCCCTGTATCAGCATCCAAAGCCAAACATCTAAAATCTGGCAATGGTATAAGCATATCCGGTATTGCACGACAATTACTTTCATTTTCCCACCTTTGCATTTCAACTCTGCCTGATTAGCCCAGTGGTGACAGCTCAGGAAATGGATTCCACCAAATCTCACAACAACTGATCTGAAATGCTCTAATCTCTGGGGCGATAAGGAGTTGCTATAGCAAAGCCAACATAAACCTGAGCGCTTGGGTTGTTGTTTAGCCTCTGTTGCTAGTTAGCAAGCTGTGCTTGATTCCAGGGACCACCCTGTGTTTAAATCTTCTCACTTCACACATATCTTTTCAGCACCATCCTGGACAGCATCAGCTGCACGGAGCTGAAGGACGCTGGGAGCTCTGCATCACGTTGAGCATCCCTTGGCCCAAAGTCACTGTGGGCAGCAGCTCCTGCGAAATGTGGTTGTGCTGCTGTTGGATTCATGGTATGCATCTGCTCCTTTAACATAAAACACTGCATATTGTTTTCGTTGGTCCTATCTCATAGAAAAATTGTAGTATCTGGAGCTAGGGAGAAAAAAAAATGCACTTCTTTTCCAGAAGCATTGCTCTGTGTCACGGAAATCCATTCCTCTCGTATCATTTCCTTTATTGCAACCATGTTGATTGCTTTTATCCCCTGTATTTCCTTTGTTTACTTAAAAAATGCAATCAAAGGTCCCGCAAAGCCCTTGCAATGCTGAGCAGGGGGCTGATCAATTTGCCTTGCACACGGAATCATGTTGGGCACTCATCCAGCAGTGTTAAACAAACATGCTAATTTCCTATTCCCAATGTATGCTCATTTAGTTGGATGTGATTTATCACCCCTGGTGATATATTATTACAGTGCATACATTAACAAGTCTATTTCTGAGTTTGTCCTTTCCAAAAAGTAGCTCCATTTGCAGAAGTAATGCAGCTGTATCCTGAAGGGTTTTGTAAGCAATCTGCTCAGTCGACAGGGCTGGATGCAGAAAATTTCCCAGGTTATTGCTGGCTGAAATTCTGCTTTTACTGATGTCCAAAGTGAGGCAGTACAGTCAGTTGGCATGCATCTAGCATGCACCTGAAAGCAAATGTGCTTCGTTGCTGCAGGAGCTTTTAGCAAGACCTCAGCATGTATCACCGTCCACTATTCATCTTCTTGACAAGGCTATCAAAAGGTGGAGTTTTTCCTCTGTTTCCATCCAGGAAAAGCAGCAGTAACTCTAACAGCTGCTCCCTCCACCACTTTTGGTTGTGTTTCCCCAGCAAGATGCTCCTGTGCACGCACAGCAGGCACACTACGTGCCTCACGTCCTGCTCCGCAGGGAACAGCTTGCAGCGATGCAGCCTTAGAAAACACGTGTCTGGTCTGAGCAAAAGTGGGTGGGCAGTGCTGAGGGTCATGAGGAAGAGCAAGGCAATGGGTGGATGAAGGAAAGGGAGGCAGGGCACTCACCAGCTGGATTTGTTCCCAAGGTCTTGAGGTCATCTGGAAGCTTCTCCTTCTATTGGGACATGCAAGTGAGATGTAATCCTGACAAACCTACCTGCCCACTGGAAATTACTGGCTTTAGGCTTTAGGGAGGATCTCTGCTTTTTATTTATTTTTTTTTAATGCATGTCTCTATTTCATTGGGCTTGGAGTGTAAAGCATAGAATCATAGAATCACTGAAGTTGGAAAATGCCACTAAGATCATCAAATTCAACTGTTGACTCATCACAGAATGCCTTAGGTTGGAAGGGATCTTAAAGATCATCGACTTCCAACCCCTGTGGCTTTTTCTTTTCATTGAGAAGATGATTTTAAGAAAGCTTAACACAGCAGTAGTTTTAATAGTCTGTTTTCATTAGGAATGTTAGGCCACAAACTCAAGTCCTCACTGGGTTACTGGCTGTGCCAGTGCCATGAGTGCTTTGCACGGCAGCTTGTTAACTCGTGGCCACAAATCGGCTTCATTTTGCCTGAAGGAGGTTCAGCGTGTGTGTATTTGGGCTTTCATCTGTCTGCATTTAGACATCTACACTCTAGAAATGAGAGAAAAACCACATTATTTCTACCTTAGTCTTAGAATTTTAGGGCAAAGCATGGGCCAACATTTGAGGCTTTCTGCAGCAATACCACTTCTTTGACCACTCTTCACTCCTGATATTGCCTGTGCCAGAAATGCACAGCTCCATCCAAAATGCCTGAGCCAACACTAATATTCAACAATAATATGCTCCATATCATAAACTTCTTCTTCCAAGGGGTGTTGATAAGAATTTCCATTTTTAGTCGAGGGCAAACAAGCAATTCTGCCTTTATTTGTTGCTGTTGTAATTGAAGAAGGAGCAGAAGCTAATTTTGTAACTTTTCCTGTAAATAGTGCATTAATGAAGACAGATGGGTCAGCAATATAAACAAAACCTCTATCTCAAGCTAGTTCTGCTCTGGCTTTGTTTCCCAGCATAGTAAGCAACCCACCACCACCCCAGTTCCCATCCTATTAACAGTGTTTGCACTCCAAATGTTGAACTGGGTTATAAGGAAGTTTAAATTAACCCTGGGCTGTAGTTTTTCAAATTCTTGAATCAAGCAGATGTTCAAGTGCCAGGAAATCCTCCTTCTCTCTTTTTTTTTTTTTTTAATTGTTTTGTTCTGTTTTGTTTTTTTAATAAGTGATAGATCTCATCCAATCCATGCTTGTTTTATTACAAAGAAAAGTTACTAATAACAAAAGATGGGCTGGCATGTAATCCTACACAGGTACTGTAGATATATCTGCTGATTTCTACTTGTGAATATCCATATGTGCAGGTTTAATTACTGATAGAACTACATGGCTATGCACACTAGCACTGCAGTACTCTTGTATCTCATTTCCTCTATTAGAACAATAAGAGAGTGCAAATGCAGCCACTCTGATATGCTGTGTGGTCACTTGGAAATGTACAATGGTAGAGGGTGGTTCTGTTGGGTCATATATTGTTTCTAAGGCATAGATCCTCTTAATTGGTGAGCAGAAGTGTTGTGCTGTTCGATAAAGGACAGCAGTGCAGAAGCATGTTGGGTGGATCACTGCCACAGGCACAGTTGCAGAAAAGAGCCGATAAAAGCAAATGTCGGATTATCTCCCTAATGCTGGATTATCACTCGTAACAAGGTGAATGGTTTGTCCTGGCAAATGGCTTCATAAGAATTGAGGAGAGTTTTGAAAGGATTTGCGTGGTGACACTTCAACCATTGGCCGCGGCAGTTCATGTCAGCAGAGGGAGATATCACACCTCCCGTGAATTCCTGCAGCGTGCCATTAAGGACAGACTGAGATTGCAGTGTGTCTGTAGGGAAAGGCCATGAGCAGTGCCAGCTACATCGGGAGGAGTGAAGCAGTACAGACCCATGGCCCAACTTGCTACTGGGAGCCACGCAGTGCTCACAGAGTGGGCAACACCATACGCTCACCAGAATGCTGCTTAAATAAACCACTGGGGTGAATAGGTCTGTATGCAATGGAGATAGCCATGGGGTACAGCATTTACAAGTATCTAGGGCAGAAAAACATCGCCAGTCCCAATCTCCACACAGCAACAACTCAACAGAGAGAGTCCACATCCAGGAGGGTTGGTACAAGGTTTTATCCAAGTGGGGTTACATACAAGCACAAAAATAAAACATTCTGTATTCTACATTATATTACAAAGGCAGGCAGTCAATAAATAGATCAATAAATTATGGGAAGCACAGAAGAGTATGTGTGAAAATAGGTGAGACTGGTTTTAGTTGGTGCGTGATAAAGTCTTTTGTGTTCATTCCCATGAAGTGTTAGAGTGATTCTTTCAAAGGCCCTTATCACTTCCAGTGAAGATAACTTTCCCTTAAAAGTGTAAAACAGATGCAGGGACAGTACAGTAGGCTCTGGTACAGGCTAAAGAGTCAGCGTCACTTACACTTTCCCAAGAATCTGACAAATTTGCAGCTTAGTATAAATAAAGTGACGGGTCTATTGTTTCTCAGCTCCGACACCTTCTTATCACTGCGATTTGTTGCAGAAGAGTGGTGGAAACATTGGCATGTGACTCCATCATATATCATTTAAGGGGGGGGCAGTACCTTTATGAATTGACAACTTCAGCACATACATAAAGGAAAGATCCTCTCTATCTAGCAGGCACAATGGGGTTTCCTTTTCTGTCTATTTCTATGCAGACTAAGTGCAATACTATTTGGCCATTTGAACTGGGTAATGTGGATGTATGGGATGTAGCTTACTGGACTGGGTGGGGGACCAGTTTCTAAGCTGGTATAAACTGGTAGCATTCTAAATCTTTTGTTGGGATTTCAGAGCTACAGAGATAAATTTTCAAAGAAATATCTGAGCATGTAAAGATCTTTATGAAGATTTTATGCTACAACTAAACAACTAGGCATGTATTGCCCATAGTTTTAGTCGCTCTGGAAATCCCTACAGATGCCAATCACCATTTACAAAGCACAAAAAGATGCCTTTGTTCCTGCGAATTTGAATGTGCCCCTTCTGGCATGAAGAGCCCACCCAAACAATCCAGTGATCTGCTCTATGCTCAGGTATGAAGACAGACAGTCATAATTTGAACAGAATAGCAAGAAGCAAGCAATGGAACAAAATATACATTCCCTACTGTCATATGACTTGCCCATTCCCCGTGACAGGAAACATACAATTATCTGTACATGCCTCATTAAATAACCTTATTAAATAGGAAATCCGAAATGTACAAATTTACAGACTGAATCATTAAATACTTCCCTTGTGCACTCCCCTGTGCATGTGTTCCCTGCTACTATCTGCAGCCACACTCTGATACCACCATGCCTTCATATTTGAACTTGTAGGTGACCACTCCTGCATCCATGTAGAGAATTGAGATAGGATCGAGTTTGGTGGGCACGCAGCAGGCCTTGGAGGCTTTCTGGGGATTCTTCAAGTGAACCAAAGTCTGGACAATGGCGTGTTTTGTTGGGGTGACGTGCTCTGTTAAGGGGTAGGCACATACTCCATGGCACTCATAAGCTTCATATCCTGCTGGAGCGATGATCCAGGAATCCCAGCCAATCTCCTTGAAATCTATGTAGAGTGGAGTCTTTTTGCAGTAGTTGCCTTTTGCGTTCCTTCGGATTCGGGCAGTAGAGTCATAAATGATGTTGGAACGCATCTGGAGCAGAGCCTCCTCACCAGGGTGTCCGTGAAAATTGCCAACCTCCAGGTTCTCCAAGTCCAGGAGCTGCTCATGGTCTATCATCTCGTTCAGCTCTTGCTTCTCCTCTTTCTTATCATTGCTTTGGTCATCAGAGAACACAATCAACAGGGGCACGTGCTTAGCCTCAGAGTTGATGTCGATATCGAGTTTCCCCTCTCCGTTCTGCTCCTCCCCTTCCCTGCTCTCAATGTGAACCTCCAGCCGGTGCGTGGTCAGCCCTGCCCTTCGCCAACGCCTTATGGCTTCGGTCACCTCAAAGCTCTCCCACTCGCTGCTTGTGCCATAGATCTGTCTGGATGCCAGTGCCACAATCTTTCTTTCTTCTCCTACCCCCATATGGTTGTTTTCCAGCACTTCAAAAATGGTGACCTTTCGGTCGAGCCCGTCATACAGCATTTGGTCCCTCTCCACCAAGGTGTAGAGCCTCAGCTCTGCCATGGTGATTTCTTCATGATGAGGGATGGAGACATTGAACAGAAGGGGATATTTCCGAACTCCTATGACACCCACAGGGTGGGAAGCAAGGTCTGGAAATAACAAAAATCAGATATTTTAGAATGATCAATATATCCAATAACACATGCACTGAAGTTCACCTGACATGTTTTGCATTGCATGGTTTCAGTCCAACAGTTTCAGGAGAGTGTTTTCTCCGTTGTCCTTGGAAAAAAAGCCCACAACTTTATTACAGATATCTAAGAACAGTGAGATCCTGCATCAGATAAAGACTGTAAATCTGGACTTAAGGGTTTTCTTATTACTTTCATGGCTTCAAGGGCTTCCTAATCACCTGGAAGGACTACCTGTTAAACATGGGCTAATACCAAAATGAAATAGCTTCTCAGGAATTATTAAAAAAATGAGACAAAAACAGTCAGTGTAGCAAAGGAAGGGAAGAAAGATACAGCACTGGAGTGAACATGAGATAGATGACACATAGGCTGCATATGCAAGAACAGTCTCTATCTGTGTCTGCTGTGTGTTCTCGTGCTAGCAAGTATTTCCTCCTGCTGAAACATGCTCAGCAACTCAGTGCACCAAGCATGATAGGAGGAAAAGTTGCCTGAGAAGCTGTAAAGGCTCCAGGTTAGGAAGAGCAGGCAGTGAACATCCAGTGTGAACCATCAGTCAATAGGAATGCTGCCACAGAGTCAGTGAGTTTCAAGGGAGCAGTCAGACAGCTGTACTCAGGCATTTTTGGCAGCTTTGGTTAATAAAGCATATAAGAAGCACACAATATCTGCTTGTCATTCAGGCTGTCTGTCCTGCCTGCATTGCTTGTTTATACATAGCAATACGCATTTCTTCATGCAGTGTAGGAATCTTACAATTCTAATGATTGTATATTTGTTACTGAATTACTATGCTGTCTACTTGTAACTTTGAAGACAGACTTAGACATAGAGACTACATGTAAACTTTCTGCAGATGCAAACTGCTTGGGACCTGTTATTATCTTCATCTCTGACTCCTCCAATTTTGGTAACTTTGTAGAAAAAGGACACTGATAAAACTGCAAGCATTGGCCAAACTCCATCCATGCACTTAAGCAAGCAGCTCACTTAAGCACAGAAATTTTCCTATGGCCATGAAGTAGGTTTTGAGGCGCCTGCCTTTCTTCTTTTTTCTATTCTTTTTCTGCTTTAGCAATTCCATCGATTCATAAATTAAAAAATAAGGAGCTTACATCTCCCTACCCATCAATTGATAAGATGGGAGCTGATTATATTCCACACAGCACCAGCGTAGGAGTGCTGAGAGGTGAAAAACACAGCTATTCAAGCACAGGGATGCTTAGTCGTGATCTGAGTGATCTGAGTGATCTTGTCCAACCTTAATGATTCTGTGAGATGCCAACAGAATGGAGAAATATCACCTGACCATTGAGAAAACAGGCACAAGGAATTCACTACACCATGGCTAGGTGCAGCAAGCTGGGTCAGCACTAACAGGACAAGAAAAGTGTTCATTTCTAAGTCAAGATGTGACTTTGCACTTCAACTAAAAAGTCCATAGGCTGAGATGCCTTTCTGCTACCAGTACATCCCTGGCAGGGTCAGGAAGGGTGATCTGAAATCCATAGGAAAATAGAAAATTCCCTGAGGACCTTCACTGATAGAGCAGTGCAGTTCTGGTTGCAATAGAGCATTATATTCAGACCTACCTCCGCCTGTGCTTCATGTTACATTTCTATAATATCTTTATAGCAATTACAAATTTAATAAAGGGCTTAATGAATAGCAATGAAACTACCATTACCACCAGTTTTCTGGTGAGCAAAATAGTCTGTTTCTACTTCCTTGAAGGTTACGTGTAATTAATTTCTATATTAAAAAAGAGTGATGTTGGCATGAAATGGCTGATTCTTAATTTCATGGATTTTAAAGACATAAAGAAAACCCAAACAATTGTATAATCATGTTAACATCAGTAGTCCCTCTTTGCATCCTGCTGTTTGGAATCAGCAGAGGTGAGAGGAAAACCGAAATGATGGAAGGTTACACCAAATTTGCCCTATCTCAGTACAGAATTTTTGCAGTGATGGAGATGGAACATCACACAGAAGGGCACAGAGCTGTGAACCCCGCTCTTAATACTGGCAAAAAGCTCCGTTTGTTCCATTTTTGCTCATTTTGCCAGTGGAATGATTCCAGATTTACGTGTTGTATGGGTTGGCATGGTATACTCAACAAATTTCATTGTGTTCATTTCTCCTGCATAGTGCACAGTGAGAAAAGAACAACAGGCATTCCTGCATATGTCTGCATTTATACTGAGGTGAGGAACTGTTCACCCATGGGTCTAGCTGGTTTGCCATCAACCACTCAATAAATTCTCTCTGGAGGAAAGGATATGTAAAGGAGATTTAAATCACAAACCAGAAACACATTGCCAATAAAGAGTATCCAGGCCTGGCAGGACTGAGCAGAGTGATAAAAATGCAGTGATGGCTGTTATACGTTACGTAGGGTAGCGTGGAGAAGTCTTGCAGCAATTTGAATAGTTGCACGTATCTCTAAAGAGACAGAATGGAAGCACTTGTACTTGCCAAGTGGAATGACTGGTATTTGAAAACGATTGGTTGAAAAACATTTTTAACACAAATCCCACATTGGTGCAAATGACTGTTAAGAAATTGTTGAATGTTATCACTGAAACTTATCTTGTCTTTGCTGAAATTAGGGGAAATGTTGAAACAGAAACATAGGGAACTATGTAAGGTCATGAATAAGCTTCCTTTTTCTAATATAATTTTTAACATGAAATATCCTATTTCTCAAAAAAAAAAAAATTGTGATACAAAATTCTACATATTGTCTAGACCGTGCTCAGATATCAAAGGAAGAAAATGTTATAAATCCCATGGGGATCAAAAGTGGGAGGCTATTGACAGAAATCTACATTTTGTTTCACTCACAATCAGAAAATTCTGCAACTTTGAACAATATGTAAACTGATTTCTCACCTTAAATTCAAATAATACTATGAGTTTCCATTTGAAAATGAGGCAGATAATAACAAACAACAAGTGTCATTCTGGGGACAGTGAAAACAATGCACTCAAATTATATTCTTAAATACTAGAGGAATATCATATTTCCCTGAAAACTTGCAATCTCAAAAGCAAAGGACAAGGGATCCATCTCATAGCAAGTGACATTAGTACAAGCAGTATTAATTGTCTGTTGCTAATGGTGCTGTCACTGAAAGGCCTTTACTCCCTGCTGTGCGCTCAATGACTGCTTGACTATGTACATATATATATACCTCACGTTGACTACAAGGGTGACCATTTCTAGAGATGCACGTATCCTACCTTCATTTTTGAAGCTCCTAATGATATTCGCAGACGGCATAGATGTCCTGTCAGTGGCAAACTTGTTGTACAGCTCTAGCATGTACTCTGGTGGGTCCACTTTGGCCGATTCGTGCAGAGGAATGTCGGAGAGGTTCAACGTCTTCAGGAACTCGTTCTTCATATTCTGAAGCAATGTGTTGAAATCAACGCCATCCTGCTCGGACAGGAACTCATCGAAGAGAGGCTCGCCTTCCTCCAAGGAAGAGTGCTCCAAGCTCAGGATGGGACTGCAGGCGGCAAGGTGAACCAAGAGGCAGAGGCCAGCCCACAGCTGAAGGACTATGGAATCCATGGCTTCGCTCCGGCCTCGGACCACGCTCAACAAGCTCTAGCTCTCGTGTGGGCTAAGTGGCGGTTTTATCCCCTTGTGTCACAGAGAGATGACAAGTTTGGATTGAAACTTGTGATCCGTCCTCTCTCCCTTCCCCCTCCCCAAAGCCAGGTCTCAGTAATTGGATAGGGCTTGCTCTCTTCTATGGTCGCCTTGCCTCTCTTATCTCGTGTAGTGTAAGCTGTTCACCAGATTTGTTGCTATCTTGCAATCCCCTTTCCCTTAATGAGCTTTTTGTAAACATTCTGCTCTAGGACACGAGAAGATAGGACAAGTTTCTCCTTGGAGAGGAACTGCTCTTTCTTTCTGCCTCCTTCGGCGTGTGTGAACAATTCCATCCATGCAGATATAGAGGAAACGTAAATTTGACAGAGCTTCTACTGAAATCTACGAATTTTGCACCAAGGGCAAAGAATAATTCCTTTAGTGTGATCTGAACATTAACACGGGTTGAGTGCTGGTGCTCAGTGCTGTGTGCCATGCAAATGCTCAGAAACAGAAAGAGTAAAGAAAATCTTCACTTCCTTTCATATCTTATTTACTTAGCAGGTAAGAACTTGTAGTAATTCTTGATTTAGTTGTTGGAGAGTTTCCCTTTGCAAACACTAAGAGCTTTACCCAAAGAGCAAATCTAAACTGATTTTTGCAGATCCTTCTTTTCCATTGTGGCTAAGCATATCCAGGGATTTGTTGCTTCATCTCTGCAACTTTCTTCCTTCACAGATACTCAGTATCTTCTTCAATATTGATCATATTTTTCTTCTTCAAGACCCATCACTCTCACAAATGGCCTCAACTCCAGTTGACAGAATTAGATTGATACTCAACCCATGGCTGTTTAAATTTCTTCTGTGGTTTTTTGTTGTTGTTGTTGTTGTTTGTTTGTTTGTTTTGTAATTATCAATATCTTTGTGAAAATCACACGTGGTATTGATGTCACAGACATCAGTACGGCCTTTAACATTGTTTCATTCATCTTTTCCCCTTATAAATATGGGAAATTGATAAGAAAAGCAGAACAATTTATCAAGCTTACTACTACACTACACTGGAAGGAGATATTTGATATCTCTTCAGCCTTATCAAAGACTCATCTCTGAACATTGTGGCTTTCTGGAGCTAAGCTTAGAAAAACTTAGGGAAATTCTGGAGCTGAGGTCACTTATGTTAACCTAATAAGAAAAACACAATCTTCTTGCTTGTGATTCATCACCTGACTATGCTGAGCCAAGGTCCTATGGTCACAGGAAGGGAAATTAACAATGAAAACTGTGAGAAAAGAGTTAGGGCACACAGTGCTCACTCCTCTGTAGCATAATTATGGGCTCCTGTAAAGGAAGTTCTTCCAGTTGATTTCTCATCAGCAAATGAGGGGGTAGTAGATTTGCTGTAATACCTATTTAAATGGTTTTATGTTTAAACATTATTTTCAGAAGTGCACTGACTTCATATACATAAATATATTTATTATTCCATGAAGAATGTAAGCGTGCTGGAAGAGCTCCTGCTTTTTGGAAGGCGACAGGTGCTGCATCTTCTCAGCACTTAGAGCCTTATCCTTAGTGCTTGTTCATATCTGGTTTTTCTCCTCAGACAAGCATAAATAACAGCTTGAATGCAAAGGCAAAAGCATGCAGAGATATGCCTTTCAGAGCCTGTAGGCACTGGGATCTATAGCGTTGCATGGCTTGATTCTTACAAGGTTTAGGGCTGAAAGCTTCTCTCACTTCTGTTATTCCTGATGAACAGTTCCAGAGCCAGAAAGATTTTTCCAGGTGCTAGTGAGAAGCACAATTATTGCTCAGACATTCCGATTGTCTTTGTATTTCCACTCTTGTTTTGATAACTCTGAACAACAGCACATTGAAGGGTAATTCAGCTAATGAAGAGGGAGTTTAATAGATAACAGTATTTAATTGTTATTAATTTTATAGCCTGAATGAACAGATTGCCCAGAGAACTGTGGGGGCCCCATCCCAGGAGGTGCCCAAGGCCAGGCTGGATGGGGCCCTGGGCAGCCTGATCTGGTGGGAGGCACAGGCTCATGCCAGGCATTTGGAACCGGGTGAGTTTGGGTTTCCTCCCAATCCAAGCCATCCTGTGATTCTGTGATTCTATGACTTTAAGATCTCTCCCATCCCAACCATCCTATGATTCTATGGACTTTAATGACCCTTCCAAACCAAGCCATTCTATGATTCCATGATATGAAGATCCTCTGTTATTAGGAATAAATGGGTCATCAGGCAGACAGAGTTATAGAAAGGTTTCTTGGTCTTGTGTTCATTTCCCCAGTGAACTTGCACTTGCACAATGGGAAAATGCAGCTAATGAAAACATAAGCCTCAGCACTGATGTATACAGCATCAAGAACAGCACTCTGCACATGCAGGGCACTGTTTAGAGTCATAGGATTATTAAAGTTGGAAAAAAACACTAAGATCTTGAAGTCCAACCCCATGCCCACTAACCATGTCACTCAGTGCCACATCTCCACAGTTCTGGAACATCTCCAGGGACAGTGACTCCATCATCTTCCTGGGCAGCCTGTGCCAATGCATCACTGAAAAGAAGGTTGGCCTAATACCAAACCTGGATCTCCCCTGCTGCAGCTTAAGGCCATTACCTCTTTTCCTATCACAAGCAACTTGGGAGAAGAAGTCTGCACCCATCTTACTACAACTTCCTTTCAGGTTTAACTCATGTCATGCTCTTTCTATCAGATCTGGCTTCTGGTGGAGGATTGGACACTGTCCATTCCTATGCCATGGTGAGAACCAAAGGGGAACATCATCCCTGAGCTCAGAGAGTGCTCTGTTCCCACTTCCAGCATTGAGCTGGGGCAGGCCCACAAGTGCGGTTGACATGGCCAAGGCTATGCACAACTCCTGGGAACAGTTCAGCTGTTGAAAGGGTCAGTCCTGAAGATTGCAGGGCTCCAAAATAGCCTCTAATCTCCATTGCACCAGGCAACTTCCTCCAAGCCAATGCCTCCACGGCTTCTTCTGTCAAGAGGCAGCAGAAGAGCACGGGTTTGAGTAGGAATGTGTGAAGCAAGCTTGGTGCTGAAAGGCCAGAAAGCGAAGCAGGGCTCTACGAAGTGCCAAGGTCGACAATCTACCATGATTGAAAGGGTGTGATGCTCCTCTGGGAAAGAGGAAGTGGGAAGAAAGAATGTGAAGTGCTTTTTGAGCATCCTCATCCTTTCTTTGGCTGATTTTCAACATGGAAGCACACCTGCTCCCACCAACTCAGGCAGAGAGCATTGGGATGTGGGATTTTTTCCAGGAAGGAGTGATTAGCAGTTGCTCATGTGGGCTTTTGTGATGGAAATGGTTTCCCAGAGAACAAACAGAAAGCTTTCCAGTTAATTACCCATGTGTGATTTCTCCATGAGTAAACTCAGTCAGGTGGATTTGGGTTCAGTAAAGCGTACCTTAACAAATTCTAATACGATTTTAAAATCCATTTTTTAAAGACAAGGAAACTGAACAAACACTGGGCTTTTTCAGTATCCCGTGACCTCAAATCTTTACAGTTTTCATTTAAATTCATGCTTATTTTCAAATCACAATTACATCTTTGCATATGCGACATATAAGAAAAAACAAATTATGTCCCTCAGGAATGTGTATTATATACAAAGAAAAGAGACAGAGGAGAACAAAAGAGATGTATCCCTCTTTCATAACAGAAAATTGATCAAGCCACTTTGAGCCACACTTCCATTGCTGGAATTCAAAGTGCAATGCCTTGCTGTACCATGAGAAAATATCCACTCCTCTACCGTTCCTGCAAGAGATTTGCACTATAGCACAAGGTAACCTTTGTTTATTTGCTGAAATATTTGGGAAAAAAAGAGTCAAGCCTGAGAATGTCTTCTACATGACTCAGAGAGTTCTCATTCTCAGCCATGACTTCTTTGTAAGTAATTCATCGTTAGTAAAAGAGAAAAAGGTGTTTTAATGTAAAATCAAGAATGCCTTTGGTGACATTAATCAGCCCTTAAAAAGAGACAGACCTAAAAAAACCGACATATTTTCCCACCACACCATGTTTAGAGGTGTAACATATCTCTGATACAGCACTTTTGATCCGATCTCAGCATTCATACTGAACCAACAGTGAGACATCTTGTTCAGAACTGCTAAAATTCCTGTGGTGCAAATCTTCAGCCTCTTCCAAAATCTGTATGAAGGCTGGGTTTGAGATTCAGAGTTACTCTCTAATCAAGACACCATAGACAAGAATGCCATTTGAGGGAAGTAGGAGAGTGATGCAAGTTAATGTGCTCTAGCAATCATCCCAACATGTGATCTGAAATTTTCCAAAATACTGCCACGAAATTGTTACAAATACGCCCCACAATGGTCTCTGTCAGGAGATAGCTGTGGCATGAGGCAACTGTTGGACGTGATATGGGAGATAAAGAAGAGTGTGACACTGACAGTGTGATGAGCTTGCAATGGAATAACTAAAATTAGTTTCCATTCCTGCATTTGCCCAAGTCATTGCTGTATGCCTCCGTTCATGGCTGCTCTGGATTTCCTCTCCATAAATGGGCAGTTCCCAGCAGTGCTTTGTTCTTGTTTCAGATGGCACTGGAAATTGAAAAGATAGAACTAAAAGAAAGAGTGGGGAGAGAGAAGTGTGTCAATACATTAAAACTGGAATATTAGAAAGGGAAAGGGAAGAGGGAAGGAAAGGAGAGGAGGGCAAAAATGAAGGGAAGGGAAGGGAAGGGAAGGGAAGGGAAGGGAAGGGAAGGGAAGGGAAGGGAAGGGAAG